AACAAAAGTTGACTAATTAGGAACAAGCTTTGTAGAAATGGACCAATCAGGAGGGAGAGAAATAACCAATCAGAAGTGAGGGAAATGGACCAATCAGGAGGGAGAGAAATAACCAATCAGAAGTGAGCTCCATGCAAATGAAGTACTACAAATGGGCCAATCAGGAGTTAGCTCAGGGAACCAATAGAATTTTAGGGTAAGTTCCACTTTCCTAGAAGTAAGCCGTTTCAGAGGCTAAAAGTGAGATAAAGCCACTGGGCCAGGGAACTGGGTGGTGCTGGCAGGAAAGTAGTGGCCCTGCCTGGGGGTCCTGCTGATCTTTTTTATGGGGCTTCTCATTTCGAAACCAGTGTCCTTGGTTTTGTTTTCACTTTTTAAAATAGATTCTCTGGCCCCTCCAGAGACTCTAAGTAGATGAGGGATAGGAGTCTGGAAACTGTAATTATTTTTTAAGAATTCTTTATTCTCTAGAAAACTCTCATCAAGTCACTTTTGAGTCAAGACATTTATTGATTCACTGATTAATTCTTTTAATTGTTCATTCTTTCATCATACATCAAGGTTTGCTCATGCAGTATGGGTACTGGGTACTGAGGGTAGAAGGACAAGCATCATAAGGGAAGAAAGTGACACAGGAGCTACTGATAGTGTCTGATGGGGTCTGGGAGACTGCAGTCACAAAAGGCTTTGCAGAAGCATCGACTCAGGAGGTCACAGCTGAGTGCTGGAGCATCTACGTTCTTGGGCCAGACTGCCTGGACTCACAGCCCAGCTCTACCATCTGCCAACTTAGGATCTGCCAAGGTGCTTAAACTTTCTATGCCTCAGTTTTCTCATCTGTCAAATGGAGACAGTCTGAGGACTTAGGTCAGAAAGTTGTGACAATGGAATGAGCTGATGTAGGAAAAGTGCTTAAAACAGCGGGCTTGAGCTTCGGCAGTGGTCTCAAGCTTCAGCAGGTATCAGAATCCCCCGGAAGTTTTGCTAATACCAGGCTTCTGGGTCCCACTCCAAGTTTCCAAGTCAGTTGATTTGAGATAAGCCTGAGGATGTGCATGTCTAACAATTTCCCGGGAAATGCCAATGCCTCTGGTCTGGGGATAACTCTTTGAGAATACTTCCAATGATAGTAAGCAGCATTTGTTGCTATTCTTTTCAGCTGATCTTTGATGGAAACATTGGAGAGTGTCACACAAAGGCACCTAGGCAGAGGGAACTGCCAGTGCATAGCCCAGAGGGCTGGAAGCAGAGGGCAGGCGCCAGGAGCAGGGAGAAACAGGCTGGCGGGGACACAGGATACATTGTGGCCGCCAGACTCTGAGGAACCTGGCCCCGGGTAAGTATAGACATTATCTGAGAGTAACCAGAGAGCCTGTTATCAGCCATTAGCACCTTAGCACAAATTAATTTATCGGAGTAGCCTGTCACTTTGTCAAAGCCTGGAGGACTCTGACTCATGCCTGGTGAATTTGGATGGCCCTAGGAGACTGGTCCTCCTTCTTTGGAAAATCACCCCACACCAGTGAGTCCCGGGCAGCTTTGAGGGCATTCAGCTGCCCAGACCCCTATCCTCACGAGAGGACTTGTGGATCTGTGATCACACCTGGAATTGGCCTCTTGGGCTCTGTACGCTCATACTCCTGATACCCAAACGCATCTGGCTTATATTTGCAGACTTTAAAAAAAATGCAATTACATTAGAAGGTTTATAATATATTTGTCTATCTATCTAGGAATATTTTCCATACTCTGAACCACAAAAGACTTATTTATAACCACATTTTCCAGTCCATGGACTGTCAAAAGAGCATTAAAAACAAAACACAATCCATCCATCTTTGTGTTTTCTGTTTGTGTGATTTTTTTCCCCCTTTTGGGCAAACCGAGTAATTTGCAAGTTTCAGTTTCACAGACAATTCCAACACTGCAGCCCCTTGCACTCTCTTGTTTCTGCAAGGAAACACAGATCAGCTCAGCTGCCCTGTGGCTGTTCTCGTGTGTGTCGTTTTATCCAGCACCTTATCTGTGCTACTTTACACACTCCAGATGCTCCAAGGCCAAGTAAGAGCCAACGCAGGCAACAGTGGCTTTCCTCCTGGCCCGGTGAGCCTGGGGCCACTGGGAAAGCAAGCTGTACTATTTTGGGCATGGCATGCTGTAACGAATGGAAAAAGAGAAATCAGAGACAGGCAGTTTTCCTCTGCCATCTGAAGAATAACACGATGCGTCCTGCTAAAGTGAAGAGAGAGTTAGAAGGAGGGAAACTGATTTCACCATGGCATCCAAATGGGAGGAGGAGGAGGTGGGCGGGTGGAAAGAAAGCATTTATAGGAGAAGATGCTCTGGGAGGCAGAAAGACAGAAAACTCACATCCAAATTGGCAACTGAGGTCTTTAGATTGCTCTTTAGCCATAGAACACTCTTGTGAGGGTAGGGTGTGTATGTGTGTCTGTGTTTATATGAGACAGACAGAGCCTTCTAACCTGCGCAGAAGGGCCCTGCGCTCGGTTTAATGCTCTCCTGAATTTCTTAATGCGGGGCCCTGTATTTTCATTTTACACTGGGCCCCCCAAATTAGATAGCTGGTTCTGGAGAGAGAGTTAGTTCCCCTGATATAAGGAGGTTGAAATTGGCATTTTTTTTTTCATATTCTTCATTTTTAAGACTATTCATTTTCGAATATATGTGCCTCAACCTTTTCTTTAACCATCCTGTGCTGCCCGTGTGCTTCGTTCACCTGAAGTTCTCGTAGTTTCTAACATAACCATGGCCGTTTGGCTTCTCTTGTCTTAGAGCAGAACTCAGTAAATTTTTTTCTGGGAAGGGCCAATAACTAGTATTTTCAGCTTGATAGATGGTTTTGGAATCTCTATTGCAACTACTCACCTGCTGTTGTAGGGAAAGCAGAAATACGTAAATGAATGAGCGCGGCTGGGTTCCAGCGAAGCTTGATTCGCAGAAACCTGTGGGGGCTGGGTTTGGCCTGGGGGCCCCGATTTGACGACCTCTACCCAACAGTACGCTACTCTTTTTGATGATGATGAAACAGATGATGACACGATGACGATGGCTGTCATGTACTGAGGCAGACTCTGGGCCAAATGCTTTATAAGCATTTTAGTATTTAATTTTCACAACCTTATATGGTACAGTTACCATGATCTTGACATTACAGATGAGAAAAGTGGTATTTAGAGGAGTAAATTATTTATTCAAGGTTATCCGGCTAGTAAAAAGAGGAGGTGAGATTCAACCTTGAGACTCCTGCTAGACCCCAGTGTTTCCAGCCCTTCACTTCTCATATCTGGAGCCCTTGACCTTTGCCCGAAATCCAGCCCCATCCTGGTCTTTAGAATTGAGCCAAACTTTAAGTGAGGAGGGTGTCAGAAGGAGCTCCAGCCTCATTGATACAATCCACCGTCAGGCTGTCCTTAGCGTCTTCTGAGCCTCTTGATTTCCAAGAACCAGTCCCCACCTTAGGGTCTGGGGTTTCTGTCTTGTCCTGGATTCCATTTCTTCTAGCTTTTTGTTCGTTAATAAGCCAGGTGCTCCATGTGAGACTCCCCAATGACAACGAGGTGCTGAGACACGCTTTATTTTTGTCTTCTTTCTTGTTATTTTGAGACCACAAGGGTTTTTGGACTGGATCTGGCCCAGTGGTAGAGCCAGTCTCCTTCCTCTGCCCCCATCTGTTCTCTCATCTCCATTCTTGGTCAGCCCCAAGGGTGGATCTGGTCCTGGCTGCCCCGTGTTAGTCGTCAACAGGGCCAAAGCTGATCCCCTCCAGAGGTAGTGTGGTTCTTTGCAATGAAAGGTCTATCACCTTCTTACTTTCCTCTCCAAATTCAATTCATGTTTGCAGCGCGGCCCGAGAGCCACCCTCCTCTCTCCTGCACCTCCCCGCACCGCTCCGGGACTCACAGTGTTCCTGTCTTCCAGTGTCCATCACACAGCCCCATCTTGTGTTTTTCTCCAGTTGCCTTGGGAGCTTTCCACTTGTTTCATTTTTCTTTCAAAAGCCCTTTGAAACAACTCCTATTACTTTTGCTTATTTTCCACTGGTGGGAAAGGTGGTGGACGTTATTAGGTACTGGATGTTGTTGATCATTACTGGGGACTGTTGATGGGCTGGTTACTGTGTGAGGTTGCCAAGGCGATGGAAGACCCATCTCTCATAGGCACGGAATCTTACTAGTGTGAAAGGGAGAAGTGGCCATGACAGCTATGGCCTCCCAGGCATGACCAGCCTGGCCTTGGTCTTCGCCTGTTGAATATACACATTGTCACAAAACATCCTAGGAGCATGAGCGACCAAGATAAAAGCAAGATCTTCTGCACTCACATCTAAACAGAGACAAAAATTTGAACATTATCCAAACTACAAAAATGATCCCATACTCCCCAATCCTGGCTAATATGAGTGACTGCTGCTTCTTTACCAATGATACCAGTGATAGTCTTGCTTCATTCCCCCTGCCTTATAGATAAGATTTGTTAATATAGCCAAGCCAAAAGGTATCCCCGCTTTATAATTAGCATCCAATCTAAAGTATTGCTCCCTTAAGCCCTCCCCCAAATCACTTAAGACAAGACCAAATCCTGTAAGTCCTTTCAGTGTCCTCTCACTGCCATGCCCCAGCGCCTCCATGGTGTGCGTTCTCCATCACTGCAGAGGGCAATAACCCAAGTTGTTTAACTACAGGTGTGTGCGTGGTGCTCTTTGGCTGGAGGACACTGACATTAGCAATTCCTTGAGCTATCAGAAACATACTCAGTCATCTTGACGTTATGTTTTCCAGGGAGTATGTGTGTTCTTCCCCCCTCCCCCCTGCCCAGGAACATCTCTTGAGCAGTTGAGAGCAATCACTTTGCCATAGGACCCCTCTCCCTGTTCCCTGCTTTGATGAGTCATCTCCACCCCTTCACCCCACTCTAAATGCTGCCAAGGACCAAATAAAACAAATTAACTTTGGATGCTTTGAGAAGTGTTTCTTCCCTTCTTTCCACTTCCATTTCCATGACATGATGTCTCGTAAACCCAGAGTGATATATGTGGTAGCCTCCACTTTCAGACTAAAAAATCTGTCCTGCTCCAGTTTATTTGAATTTAAAATTCATCCCACTTTGATGTTTGCCACTCTACAGCATGAACTGCTATATAAAGGAGCATGCATCTTGCTCACACGGCATGCAACTCATCTAAGGCTATAAGGAATAGCCTGACATTTAGGTTGGGTACAAGGTGCTTTTCTAGGAATAAATGCACCAGATGAGCCAGCCTGATGCAGGGTGAAGAATGGTTACTGGATGGAGACCGAGAAGCCTGGAATTATAGTCTGAGTTTTTCACAGACCATCACTTTGACCTCAGTTAAGCTGTATTCTGTTAGCCTAAATTCCCTATCAAGAACTGGACATTATTGAAATCATACTCCATGCCCGGCAGTAGGATAGGTGACTCGTGCCATCCATCAGGTCATTTGCAAACAGTGTAACGTGACAGGCATTACACAGGGAAAAAGGACTGCAGGCCTACTGCTGGCCTACATCTTAAGACCTCAGTGTAAACACGTGTAAACATGAGCAGAAGCATCAAACCCAAATGGAGGGACATTCTGTACAGAGGAGGAAGGCCTGGAAGTCGCTGAAAGTGGCTACATTTCCTTACACACACAAGACTCCAAGGTCTCAAACCAAACTCCTTGGGCTTCTCTCTGGCTCAGATCACCAGGGCTAGGCCACCTATTTGTGCGTTGGTTTCCCCATCTGTAAAATGAAAACAGGCGTTGTCCCTGTCTCACAGGGTAGTATAAGGATTGCGTTCATTTATAAAGACCAACTGCAGAGAACAGTGATGGGTACTTAGTAACCCGTTAAAACTATATTTAATGGTATTGTTTTTGTTCTTATTAGCGATAAGTAATCTTGAAATTTCCAGATAAATCCAAACCCCTATAATTTCTCCTAGTGAGGAAGCAAAGAGTCTGAAGTTGCCTCTGAAAAAAATATAAGCATGTATCTTTGGAAAATATGAAATCCTTCCAGGGTCGTAAGTGACAAAGAATAAGTTGAGCCTGGACTGTCTTGTACCAGAAACACTCAGTTAGGGGGATGTACATGTCCATGGACACAGAAGCTGGCTTGAAGGGTTGAAGGGGCTCTGGGCAAATCTGGGGTGATGAGCATCAAAATAATGATATTAATACATTATGACCCATTAAATAAACCAGGAGTCTGTGAGTGCACATTTATATTACTCAATAATTAAATGAGAAGAAAAACTCTGCAGTAGAAAGCCAACTAATTAAAGCAAAAGAAATGACAGAAGTAGACACATGTTAATGTGGCAAGTCAACATCACGTGGCACACACAGGATACAACAAGAACACGGCATCACTTTTGTGGTGTGCTGGCCTACGTCTTAAGACCTCAGTGTAAACATGAGCAGGAACATCAAACCCAAATGGAGGGACATGCTGTACAATGACTGGCCCACAGTCTCAAAACTGTCAAGGTCATTGTCTGAGATTGAAGGCGATTCAAGAAACATGACAACTGAGTGATGTTTTGGATCCTCTCTTAGATTCTTTTACAAAAAGGATCTGGCAAAGGGTATATCAGAGTTCTTTGTATTATTATTGTAATTCTTCTGTAAATTTGAAATTGCTTCAAAAGAAAAGAAAAAATATATATTCTTTTTCATATTCTTTTCCATTATAGTTTATTACAAGATATTGGATGTAGTTCCCTGTGCTATACAGTAGGACCTTGTTGTTCATCTATTTTATATATAGTAGTTTGTATCTGCATATATATGTATGTATAACTGAATCACTTAGCCATACATCAGAAACTAACACAGCATTGTAAATCAACCATACTTCAATAAAAAAAGATGTAGAAAATGAAAAATGTACAGCTATCAGAAATACTTTGTAGTCATAAAAATTAATATTGTTATTGACACTGAAAGCATGAGCAACAGCAACAACAAAAAGATAAGCTGGACTTCATCAAAATTTAAAACTTTTGTACTTGATGGTGAGGACACTATCAAGAAAAAGACAACTCACAGAATAGGAGAAAATATTTGCAAACTGTGTATCTGGTAACAGATTCATATCCAGAATATATGCAGGACTCTTACAGCTCCACACACACAGACAGACACACACAGAGAAAGAAAAACAACCCAATTAAAACATGGGCAAAAGCCAACAAAAAAGAAATACTGTGGCATAAGTTTAATAAAATATGTGCATAGTCTGTATGAAGAAAACCACAAAGCTTTGCTAAAAGAAATAAAAGAAAAACTTGATAAATGGAGAGCTATTCCATGTACGTGGATAAGAAGACTGACTATAGAAAGATGTCGGTTCTTCTCACCTTGATCTTTTTTTAAATTGAAGTATAGTTGATTTACAGTGTTGTGTTAATTTCCAGTGTACAGTATAGTGACTCAGTTACACACACACATATATACTTTTTCATTACAGGTTATTCCAAGATACTGAATATAGTTCCCTGTGCTATACAGTATGACCTTGTTGTTTATTCTGTATATAGTAGTTTGTATCTGCTAATCCCAAACTCCTAATTTATCCCTCCCTGCTCCTTTCCCCTTTGGTAACCATACCAACTTGATCTTTAGATTCAATGCAATCCCAGCCAAAATCCTAGCAAGTTATTTTGTGAATATCGACAAACTGATTCTAAAGTTTATACGGAGCAGCAGAAGACCCAGGACCAACATAATATTGAAAGAGAAGAACAAAATCAGAGGACTGACGCTACTTGATCTCAAGACTTACTATGAAGCTACAGTAATCAAGACAGTGTGATACTGGTGAACTTTAAACTTTAAAAAAAAAAGAAATCTGTTGAAAAAATAAGAAGACCTGTATCTGAGTGGTAAGAAAATGATCATGTTCATTTTTGTGACGACTAACACATATTGGGTACTACGGTGTGCCCGGCATTGTGCTAAGTGCTTTGCATGCATTGCTCTATTTAATTCTCACATTAAATCTTACATTTTTCCGACTTTGTGAAATTTCTACAATAAATATATTACTTCTAAAACCAGACAATTTTATTTGTAAATTTATATGTACATAATAGGTCCTATTAAGATGAAGGTCTTCAAGTTGGTGAAGATTGTAGGAACTACTTACTGTAAGATTTTGTTTAAGGGATTGAAGATGTTTTACTTGGCAAGGGGGCCTTGAAGTGAGTGATGATGGCTCTCTTCACATATTTGAAAGACAGTCAATTGGAAAAGGAATTGGACTCTGTCTCCATGGCTTCAAAAAATGAACTAGAGCCACTGAGTAAAGAATCTTAGGAAAGCAAGTTTGGGCTTAACATAAGAATGCTCTTCCAGACAATTCTCTCCAAAAAAGTAATTATCTAATCCCCGAATATTTAGGGATTTGTGTATTCACCTAGAAAAAGTTTGGAAGAACAGGAGTCTGAGGTCATTTTCAACTCTTAAATTCTGCCTTTGTTTATATTAATGCAGATTAATCAGAGAGCAGAACCAGGGTCTTCCTTTTTGTTGTTGTTCTGTTTTGTTTTGTTTTGTTTTTAAAGGATGCAATTCTATTTCAACCTTGGAAAAAACTGTATGGTCTGAGTGAACAACTGTGAAACTTACAGATTGCTTCAATGCAATTTTCATATTTTTATCAGGAAACAGAAAGGCATAAAAAGCATGAGGAAAAAAGCCTATTTATGTAGCATTTAGAAAAAAATGACAGAACACAAAACTGATTTAAATCTTACTCATTCCTCCCTCAGGTTGGTCCGCACACCCCGCCCCCATCTCCCCCACCCTTCTTCCTTCAGTTTTTCCCACTTTTCCTATTATAATCTTTTACATTATTGGCATTTTCCTGCCAGGAGACTCGGCCCTGCCGCTATCAGTGACACCGCTGTGAACTGCTTTATTTTGTAAAGCAGAGAGCAGAGACTTTGACCGGGGTTAAGTTTGTTGAGCAACAGATCCACCCTAGATTCCGTTGCACATTCAACCGTTTACTGTATGATACCAGCCTCCCACTCCTGTGTTTCCGACTCTCTCACAAAAGGAGTCCTTGAAGCCCTCTGGCCCCAACTCTGGTGGCTGCGAATCCTGGCAAAGCCGTGCGGCCCGCGCAGGGCACCTTCGGCCGCGAGGGCGGGGCCGCGCCAGGACTCCAGCCAGAGGGCGCGGCCCCACCCGCGCAAGCGCCCCAGGACCCTCTAGGGGCTTCTCGACCTT